TATAGGTCATAATTTGTTCATTGGTCACAAATAAAAAATTGAAACGTCACAAATTATTTTACGGTCACAATTCAAAAATTTTATATGTCACAATTTGTTTATCGGTCACAAATCAAAAATTTTATAAGTCACAAATTATTTTACGATCACAAATCAAAAATTTTATAAGACACAAATTATTTTATGGTCAAATATGTGACAAATTATTTTACGGTTACGATTCAAAAAATTTATAGGTCATAATTTGTTCATTGGTCATAAATAAAAAATTGAAACGTCACAAATTATTTTACGGTCACAATTCAAAAATTTTATATGTCACAATTTGTTTATCGGTCACAAATCAAAAATTTTATAAGTCACAATTTGTTCATCGATCACAAATAAAAAAATTTATACGTCACAACTTATCCATCGGTCACAAATTACAAATATTATAAGTTACAACTTAGTAGACAGTCACAAATTGTCAAATTATTTGTCACAAATTAATAATTTTTTAGGTCATACATTATTTCTTGGTCACAATTTATATTTTTCATTGGTCACATATTGTTTATCGGTCAAAAATTAATGAATTTAATGATCACAAACGACCAAATAATCTGTGACCACAACCAACACTTGTGACCATCACCTTATCACTCCATCCAATAGCACCGTCACTGTCACCTTATCACTCCATCCAATAATCTGTGCTGACTTGATCAGAGGTAGGCATTATTGATTTGGTGCTGCTTGATCCAAGGTAGGCGTTAACTTAGTTTTATTCACAAAACATGAGTATCTGAAGTATATTTCAGTCAACTTAGAAGTCGAAGTTGGGACTGTGAACAAGACAAACTTCACCTCAACATGTCCAGACGAAAAGACAATAGAGAAGAAGTAGCTCGAAATCTATATCATTGCATAAAACAAAAACAACGAATCCAAGAAAGGATCAGAGTTGTTAGTGTGTCATTGATAATTTAGGTCATTAATGAATTGAATCTTAGTTCTGCATAATAATTGAGCGTGGCATTAATGGGAGGACCACGAGGTTTCCTAAACAAGGGACTGGCTAAATTCCCCATCCATTTTATGGCCTGTAAGAGGTCATTTTCTATAAAACATAGTTTACTTACAATTTTACAACTCACTCTCACTTTGTAATGTGCGTACACTGTCGGCACGAGAGAGATGAAGTTTGCTTACTGCACAAATCCTCCCCCTTGCTAGACTTCACTGATGCCTGAATTATTCGTAAAGCTTAATTTTTTTTTTTTAAAGTGATTTATAAGCTGTGGGTTAAATGGATGCTTTGCCAAACTTGCTCTCATTTGACTTAGACAATTAGTGAGGGAGTAATGTTAGACTAGTGATTAAAAAATATATATATATTAAAGAACTTTCCCATTTGTATAGAAATGGATTTGCCAGAACGCTCACATGGGGGTGGGCCCCATGTGAGTAAATTATTGAAAAAAAACCTCTACCCACCCTCTGTTTTGAGTATCTGTTTTCTTTCTGTTTTTGCTGCTTCTGTACGTGCAGCAATATTCATAATTAAAGGTTCGTCTAACTAGACTTTCGTTTTTTTTTATAAGAGAGTTTCTTGAGTGAGTTATTTTTCTCTAAAAATTCATCTAGTTAGACAAAATACTTTTCAAAAATTATTCAAAATAGATTTAAATGAAACTTCTTAATTTGAAGCCAAAAAAAAAAAAGCTTTTACCTTTTCAAAACCTTTGCCAAATGGGCCCTAAAAGCATATCCAATATACCACATTTTAATTACAATTAAACTACTTAATATTTGCTCATTATGGCAATTATTTCTTTAACTTTTTTTCATCGAATTCTTATCTTCAACATTTCATTAATTAGTACGTCTCGTCTTTGATGATGGTTTATATCAAAATATTTTGTTTCCATGCTTTGAAATGAGGGAAAAATATTTTTGCGTACTTTTTATTTATTTATTTTCTAAAAATATGATGGAAAATAAGTTTTTTTTGTAACGCCATTTCAACGGATTTTTAGACATAAAATTGTTATAAAATACAAAATATGTTAACTAATAAAAAATTTGAGGATAAAAATGACATGAAAAATCATCAGGAACATAAATACTGTAATGAGCAATGATTAAGAACCTTGAATACAATTAAAATGTGATGGAGAGAATAAAAGTTGTGGTGCGAATATAATTACCCTGTCGAAGTGACACTTTTCTCCTCACCATCGACGTTAGCGTAGAAGATGCTCTAAAATATTCCACTAATCATTATGTATAGAAAGATAGATATATTTACAAAGAAAATGTTGATTGAACTAAAATTTTCAATTAGCAGTTGAATATCATGTTTACATTGAAAAAGATACTTGGCCGGGCCCTGGCCATGGAGCAGCCCTCTGTTCACATTGACACATCGAATAATGACACACATTTTGGGCATCTAATAAAAGCGACCAAGTGCATTAATGCCCCGTTTGATTGCATTTCCAATTTCATGGAAGATGGAAATTAAATTTCATTTTCTATATTTTTGCATATTTGATTATCCAAATTTTTCATCGAATTAGTTTTTCATCTTTCACACACACTCACATTTTCTTGATTTTTGAGGAAAAGTTTTTCCCCCACTAGACAACTTTTTTATTTTTAAATATTAATACAAATTAATAAAATGTGTAGCTATAAAAAGTTGTAAATCTTATGAAATATGTGGTTGAAAATAGGTTTAAAGAAAAATGAATTTTAAGAAATTGGGGGTCAAACATGGCCTCTATAAGTTGTTTCACAATTTTATTTTATTTTTCTCTTGTCAAAATTTTAGCAGTTAACTATCATATCAGCCATCATTTTTTACTTTCCCTCTCACGAGTGGGGCCCACTGGTTGACTATAATGGCTAGCATTTGAATCAAAATCCCACAAAAATTTCTCACAGCCGTTAACTATTATATTGGAGAAGATTTTATTTTTTGAACCTCTGTTGATGTGACACTTTTCTCCTCACAATTGACGTTAGCATGGAAGATGCTCTAAAATATGCCACTAATCATGATTTATAGAAAGATGGATTAATTCATTTGTACAGAACTATTCACTTTATAGAATACTTACATCCTCTCACATGAGGGTGGGTCTCATGCAATAAAAAAAGCAAAAAAATTATCCACCCAACCCCTTATGAGTATCTGTATGTGTAGTGCTGTTCTAGAAAGATATATATAGGTTTATTTATATTCAATAAGAAAACGTTGATTGAACTAAAATTTTCAATTAGCAATTGACTCTCATGTTTTTACATGGAAAATGATACATGCCGGGGCCACATGGTCCTTAGCCATCCAGAGGCCATGAGCCAATAGGGGGCTCCACACGGCCCTCCTAGATGGCCATGGCCCCATGTAGCAGCTAGAGAAACACATTGACATATCAAATAATAACACGCGTGTTGGACGCCTAATAAAAACGACGAAGTGCATTCAGTTATATTTGGGTTTCGCTTTCTTTTAGTTAAAACGTTACTTTATAAAATTAAATATTAATTTTAATCACACATTAACAAGTAATAAAATTTTGAAAAGAATTTAAGAACCAAAATTGAGAATCGAGAATCGCCTAGATCTTGGATAGTTCTAAGTTCTTGAATCGAAACCTTGGTACCCAATTCTGGAACCGAACTTGTCATTTTTTTATAAGTTTTTTTATTTTGTACAATTTATTCATCTTGACACAATGACAAGATGGGAGGCAAAGGAAATAATGGGATGGAAAGAAAAGAAAAATCGACATGTTGATTGTTATGCTGTTTTCAGTTGAATGAATTTATGTTTAGTATTTGCAGAATCTAGTACTTCCTTTTTATTAGTTTTTAGTTTGGTGTTTATGTTGTACTCGATGTTCTATGTTAATTGATGTAATATTTTTCTAGATATTTAATGCTATTTGCTAAATATAAAATGATATTTGGTGATATATTTTGAGAAAATATTGAAATGTGTATTTGATGATACATTTTATTTCTTAAATTTGTACTAGATATTAAAAAGATAATTTGTAGTATCAACTCACCTTTTTATTCATGGGAGAATTGAACTGACAATTCGGGCTTGGATTTAGATCCAATATTTATGTTAACATGGATGGTCTATTTACGAAATATTCAAAACATAATGAATGGCTCCAACTTTTAAATATCCCCGCCCCTAGAATATCGTGGATGAGGTAAATCGTGGAATGTACCTCAACGGGTCAGGGTACACAAGTTGGCATACTGGTGCCCCACAAAAAGTCAAATTTCATACATTGTAAGAGACAGAAATCGAACCATTACACTATATACTGTTAATAAATGCCCAATTCTATATACTATTAATAAATTGCTAATCATTCAAAAAAATATAGCTCGATTATCATATGGCTTTTATAATGCAAGAACTATTGACATTTAATATGGGACCATCATGTAATTATGTCCTTTCCTTTTCCTTTTGCTTTGATGCAAGAGAGGGAAAGTTAAAAGCCTTGATTCATGGCCATGGCCCCATGAGATAAGAATAATTAATCCCTTATCATATCATTTAAGATTGATATAACCTCACATTCTAGGACATCATAATAAACCTTGTCGAGTTACACTCATTAGGCCAACCCATCTTTTTGTGAATCGAGAGTTTGACATTACCCCTTACCTGAATTTCTTAATATGTATCGTAAATTTATAGTCAAGGGGTGTCAATTTTAAATACTTTCGATTCTTATCCATGTAATTGAGTCAAGGCAATTCCCATTTGTCCATGTAATTGTGACAATAAAACTTAGCAAAAACAACACTTGATTTCTACAAATACTGAATACATTACACCTGAGGACAACATGAAGTAGTAAAATAGAAAGACAAAACTTATTACAGAGAAAAAGGTCCAAAACAAAGGGAAAATGCAATCATAAACTCATTGGTCATGAGCTACCTACGATAATAAGGCTCCAAACCCACGAACAAGATTTGAGTTACAACGGATCTATTTGAGTAACCACAATGGGGCTTCGAACCACACGCCTTCCATCTATCCAAGAAAGTGATCCGTACACAGCACCCGAGTCATCCAATACCAGATTCTTGCTGTCGACTGATATTGTTACGTAGTAGCTCAGTTTTCTGACATTCTCCGAAAATATGAGCTTTCCGGGCTTAACGGTCACCATCACCCCCTTCGGGGGCTCGACCTTCAATATGTAAACTGAATTTGCTTCCCCAACATTTGTCACCGTCCTAAAGAATGTCTTGCTAGATACTCCATTAGATGAACTTGGGAACAATGCTGCGATAGACGGGTAATTCAGATTCTCTGGCATTGGCTTCCTCATTGGACAATTCACTGGTGATCGAGTGATCACCTGAATTGTCTTAGGACCATACTCAATCGCGCACAAGAAGCTAACGTAATCGTTGTTTGTCAAGTCATAGACAAGTCCAGGATCCATGGCTAAATCAAGATTCAAATGTCCAGCACCAAAATCATATGGAGTGGCTGGTTTTCCAGTCGATTCATCGATCATTGGTTTAAACGAATTATCGATTAAACTTGCAGTTGTCATCATAGCTGATCTTATAGCTGCAGGGCTCCAATCAGGATGTGCAGATTTAAGCAAGGCTGCAGCCCCACTGACATGAGGACAAGCCATAGATGTGCCAGACAAAATATTGAACTCAGTTTTTCGCTTATCAGAATCTAAACCAGTTGGACCTATTGCATCGGTCCAAGCTGCCAAGATATTCACCCCGGGTGCAATCAAATCAGGCTTCAAGATTTCCGGGTTAAGACCATTCGGCCCTCTGCCAGAAAATGAGGCCACTACCGGAGCCGGTTTGATCCCAATTACAGTGCCCCGGAAATTAATTGTCGCACTTGCAGTAGGATTTGATGCTATGTAGGCCTTTATAGCATCTCCTTCATTAGAACCAACAGCACAAGCTGGAAGCAAATGAGCATCACCCACTAGACCTTCACCATTGGAAACGCCATTAGCAAGAATCATTCCCACACCACCAGCCTTCTTAACAGCCAAGCCTTTCGCAACACGAGGACTACTCCCTCGATCGCAAATCACAATTTTACCTTTCACTAAACTAGGATCAATTGAATTTTCCATACAGAGTGAAGCAGAGAGCATCCCTGATTTACCTGGATAAACCAGAGGATACATTTTACCGTTTAATGGTGCACCGGCATATAAAGATACACCGGAAAGTTTCCTTCCGTCGCCAAGAATTACGTCAGCCGGGAAATCCCGATCAATCGTGCCACCACCAACAGTTGTCAGCCATGGCGCCAGGTTAGTCACTGACATTCCATTAGGCCCATCATTTCCAGCTGACGAGGAAACAAATATACCTCTAGAAACTGCACCATATGCTCCGATAGCAATCGGATCGAGATAATACGGAGAAGAAATCCCGTCCCCGCCACCAATGGAAATGGAAATGACATCGACTCCATCATTAACAGCTGCATCAAATGCCGCCAGAATATCGGAATCAAAGCAGCCGGAATTCTTCCAGCAAACTTTGTAAACCGCCAATCGAGCTTTTGGTGCTACCCCTTTAGCAATTCCAGAGGCATAGCCTTCCATGCTGGCCTTGAATGCATATCTCCCAGCAGCAGTGGACGCAGTATGAGTTCCATGACCGTCAGCGTCTCTTGGGGATTTAAACTCGATGGTTTGATTAATCCCGCCAGCAATTCCACCAAAACCAGACGAAGCTTCATGGCCTTCAGAGAAAAACCTCGCTCCAATGATTTTTCTGTTACAATTCTTGGCTGTGAATTTAACCCCAGTATTGCACACTCCCTTCCAGCGTTTTGGAACAGGGCCCAGATTTAGATCCGAGAAGCTCCTGTGCTCGGGCCATATTCCCGTATCAAAAAGTCCAATTATGACATCAGACCCATAATCTGATTCCGACCAGAGGCCGCGCTGGTTCCTCAGCCCAAGGAATTGCGGCGACCTGGTGGTGTGGAGGTGGCGGCGCCGGTCTTCAAATACGGCAAGAATTGAGGGATGCTTCAGAACTGAAGCAGCTTGAGACGGAGTTAACGAGGCAGAGAAGCCATGGAAAACAGTGTCGTATACATGTAGGATGCTGGTGGGCTCACTGAACTCGGAGGTGTACCAGTGGTAATGTGTAGGAAAAATAGACGGCTTGGATTCGCTGTCTACTCTGATAATGTAAGTTTTAGCCGTTTGATCAGCTAAAATTTGGGTCACTGACACTAGGAAGAAAAATAATTGAAGAAAAAGCGAAGCCATGAGAGAGAGTGGAGTGTCGAAGTTTAGTGAGAGAAAATGCAGTGTTGCAGGTGATAGATATAAGAGGAGGGATGATTAATCCTTTCAAACTTCTTTTGATTTGTTTTAGGAAACAATTGCAGCATTTGTCCCTGACTTTCTAGCATCTTCATACTTAATTTATTTTTCTCTGTTACATTGTTCCTATCTTTTAGTTTTTTGCGCATAGTTGGTCCCCATTGATAGTTTTCCATTCTTTTAGCCGTTAAACAAGCACGTGTGTCACTTACGTGACACTTTTAAGGGTAACATTTAGATGAATGAGAAGGACAAAAAAATCATCGATCCAAATCACAAAATTGAGCAAGGTCATCACCCTCATGGATAAAATCATCAAAACTGTAAATTTTCAAAATAATTATATATCTTATATGAACTATGTCATCATCCCAAATGTTTGGTCATTGTGGAAGTAGGGGCAGAAGCAGAATTTTAAAGTTAGGAGGACACAATCGAACTTGTAAAGAAGTTGAGAGAAATTTTACAATCGAAAATTTACGTCCAAAAAAATCATACCTCGTATAATTTTGCATCCGAAAATTTACATGGGATATAACTTTTTCATATGTAAAATTTCGAAATTTTTTGATATTATATTTCATATAAAAATGATAAAAATTACAATGAGAAATTTGTATCACAAAAATAATAAAAGTTAATGAAATAATTGAATTTATTTTTTAAAATACGAGTTAGACGTTTTTCTTTAAAACTCACATTTAACATATTTTTAACTATTTTCAATATCTGTTTGAACTATTCGATATATCTATAATGTAGTTCTCGAAATAAGATTTTAGATGACATAAGTAATACGAGTTGGAGAATTTTTAAAATTAACATGTTATCGAAATTCAAATTTATTGTGATTTTACCCGTTTGGTGGAGATTAAAATCAAATTTTTAGTAAATTTTGATTAAAGTTAAACAGTTATAGATTCCATGAAATATGTTATTAAAATTAATTATTGATTTTGATTTAGATTTTAATCGATACCAAACATGACTTTAAAAACAAAAAAAAAATCTCAAAAGTTGCCCCCGTGGGTCCACCAGTGGGGGGAAGGAAGAAAGGGGGTGGATAAATGAATGACGACGGTAAAATGATAAGTAGGATATAAGATTATAAATACCTTTTCTAATTAAAAGTTTCATTTTATCTAAATTATACATATCATATGCACTACAAGCGAGACAATCGGCACCAAAATATATATTAAGGGGATGATATTGACAAGAGAAATAGGTTGGATACCAAGTTGCTATAATATTTACAGATCAATCACCACTGCTGCAATTTCCCATGATTTAGTGGTAAGGAATGTTTAATGAAATAATTAATGTTTAGGAAATAGGGACACAATTTTTGTCGTCACATAAACTGATGAGTCAGCCCTGTTTTCACTGCGGACATGACGGAAATGAATGGAGAAGCTACACGGCAACGTTTTGAATATCTTTACTCCTTTTTTTTTTTCATTGTACTGTAAAGAGGAAAAGGCAAGGTCAAATTGAATAATTATTGATGCTAGTCGATTTCTTTAATATTTTTTGCTTTATTATACATAGTGATTTTGAATAGAATAATTCCTTAATTACAGAAATTATTCACTGATTTTTTACAGAAATTTGAAATTTGTGAATTTCGTCCCTCAATTTGTGTTTTCACTCCTCACTTGATTGAATCCCTTCCCTCCAATTCAAACTTCTGTGTGATTTCTGTGAGTATTTTCTGTACTCGTAGAAGGACTCTTTTGAATAATGCTATTTTACTCGAAAGTGATTATGTAATGGTTGACATATAAATTTTGACAATATATGATTGAATGAAAAATTAACTGTATTTTAAACAAATCAACGATAAGTTGTCATGTGACATATTTATATCGTGTGGTTATAGAAATGCAACACGTATGGTTTCCAAATAGTGAAAATTTTTGGACATGTCAATGTCCTGTAATCTTGAGTATTTTCACAAAATCAAATGGATCAGACTTAATCACTGTTTTGACTCTCATTTTTCACTCAAATTTATTTTTAATCACAAAATTTATCAACCCACAACTTTTTGACTTTCCAACTTTCACGCGTGACCAACTTTTATCAAAACCTAATAAAAATTTTGATATTTAAAGTTATGCTACATGTACAAAGTTTGGTTACAAAGTTGGTTGACAAAATAACATCTATATCAATCATTTTAAAAACAAATTTTTAAATCATTTGAAATCAACGGTCTGATTTTTGCTAACACATTTTGTAACCCAACTTTTGTAACTCAACTTTGTACAAATAGTTTTTTTGAAGTATTTAGCATTTGTGATCACTACACGTGACATGACGTGATGTGATGTAAACCCTAACTTCAACAGATTAATAGTTATAATCAAACATCTTGTTATTCACTTCGCTATCCTCAAATCAAATTTGACATCTCGAGCACTTCAATATTATAATGACATGTCAAGAGATAGCAGATCTAAACTCTTATCATGTCTATCTATTAGAATCTCACATTGACTAGTAATATTAACACGATCCACTTAATAAGGTGAGGACAACCATCTCTTAACAAATCGATTTTGTTAGGTTGAATTAGGCCCAATATCCATTCTAATATAGTATCAGAGCAGGCCCAATTTTGCCATGTTTGGTGCACCTAATATCGATTTGTTTACAGTTATTTGGTATGGTCAGCGCTATGCGTGAGGGGGCGTATTAAATGAATGTATGGTTGAGATGAAGAGAGAGAAAAATTTAATGTAATGTAATTAGATATAATGGGGGGCAAACAAGGGCACATAGTGATTTTGAATAGAATAATTTCTCAAATACAGAAATTATTGATTGATTTTTTACAGAAATTTGAAATTTGTGAATTTCGTCCCTCAATCTGTGTTTTCCCTCCTTACTTGATTGAATTCCTTCCCTCCAATTCAAATTTCTATGTAATTTCTGTGAGTATTTCCTGTACTCGTAGCAGGACTCTTTTGAATAATGCTACTTTACTCTAAGGTGATTATATAATGGTTGACATATAAATTTTGACAATATATGATTGAATGAAAAATTAACTGTATTTTAAACAAATCAACGATAAATTGTCATATGACATATTTATATCATGTGGTTATAGAAATGCAACACGTATGGTTTCCAAATAGTGAAAATTTTTGGACATGTCAATGTCCTGTAATCTTGAGTATTTTCACAAAATCAAATGGATTAGACTTAATCACTGTTTTGACTCTCATTTTTCACTCAAATTTATTTTTAATCACAAAATTTATCAACCCACAACTTTTTGACTTTCCAAATTTCACGCGTCACCAACTTTTATCAAAACCTAATAAAAATTTTGATATTTAACTAAACCAAAAAAGAATCTTAACCCTCCGTTTGACATCTATTTTTTTCTCATTTTCATTCTCTTTTTTCATTTCAACCACACATTTTATCAATAAAATAATATTACACATAAGCCTAAAAACCCTCTTTACTTTTTAATCACACACTCTTCCTTTAATCACTATTCAAAAACACATTTTTCTACTAAAATGGGTGTCAAAACTCAAACACCCCCTTAGAGTTATGCTACATGTACCATCCCATAACATTGTTATATGGAAGAAATAAGTTGTACCATCCCATCTAATCCAATACTAAGTATTTAGAGTTATGCTACATGTACAAAGTTTGGTTACAAAGTTGGTTGACAAAATAACATCTACACCAATCATTTTAAAAACAGATTTTTAAATCATTTGAAATCAACGGTCTGAATTTTGCCAACACATTTTGTAACCCAACTTTTGTAACTCAACCTTGTACAAATAGCTTTTTTGAAGTATTTAGCATTTGTGATCACTACACGTGACATGACGTGATGTGATGTAAACCCTAACTTCAACAGATTAATAGTCATAATCAAACATCTTGTTATTCACTTCGCTATCCTCAAATCAAATTTGACATCTCGAGCACTTCAATATTATAATGACATGTCAAGAGATAGCAGATCTAAACTCTTATCATGTCTATCTATTAGAATCTCATATTGACTAGTAGTATTAACACGATCCACTTAATAAGGTGAGGACAACCCTCTCTTAACAAATCGATTTTGTTAGATTGAATTAGGCCCAATATCCATTCTAATATAGTATCAGAACAGGCCCAATTTTGCAATGTTTGGTGCACCTAATATCGATTTGTTTACAGTTAATTGGTATGGTCCACGCTGTGCGTGAGAGGACGTATTAGAATCTCACATTGACTCGTTATATTAACACGATCCACTTAATAAGGTGAGTTCAATCCTCTCATAACAAGTCGATTTTATTAAGTTGAGTTATACCCAATATCCTTTCTAATACTATTGATTTGACGCATAAGATAAACGACTAAAAACTCTTAATGCATTTCTGATAACTTTAGCTAGTACGAGGCATAGCATAATGCCAAATTGTAGGCAAATTCCAATTAATGCATGTACATTTTGCTTCAACAAATAAGGTTGCTGCAGCCTGCATGCAATGCAAAGGACTTGATGGTTGAGAGCTTGCATCAATGTATGAACCAACCTAAATCGAAATGAAATTCTTATGACTCTATTTACACACGCGTGGCGTGCTTCAATGCACGAAATGAACTAAATGCATATGGCATTCTCATGACCCTAGGCACACCTTCCAAGCAACCTTCAAGACCCATTATGAACTATGAAGTAGTTCAGCCGTAAATTTATAGCTCTGTATATAGAGATTCAAATCTTCTGTAATATAGGAGTTTTAAGAATTTAGTGCAACATACAAGGCAAAAGTAAAATTTACAGATGCTTAGCATTTACTCGAATTTCGCTCCATAATAGCTAAGTTTGAACCATTGCTGCTAATAACAAAAACAGATTATCATAAACAAGAGGTCAACAAGCTAAACAATTATACTATACCAAATATAATTTAATGAAAATGATGCTGATAAAAAATTCTTGCCATATTAACCGGTTCATACTTCAAAATGTACTGCTGCTATTGTATGACCCTGAAATTTGGCTCTCATCTTCCCACTTGCTCTTGGGTATCTCCCCAGAATCCGCAATGATCACCTTTTTCCTTGGCTTCCCACTGTAGGTTCCCGCTCCACCCTCAATGGCATACACGGTATCCATGCCTTCGATAACTTTGCCAAAAACAACGTGCTGGCCATCCAACCTGTGCAGTTACCATAGTACCCATTAAGAATTCCTCAACACAAACCCATCGACTTCACAAACAAAATTGAATTCCTGACAACCCTTGTAGATTTTCTTTTTTAAATTTTTTTCATCATTTATTAATATTCTTGAGGATAATATAGGACATATTTTCTCTACTATAGAGCCATTAAGATAATAAAATGTCGACTGTCTGGTTAAATTGCACCAAATACTGAAATATATACTAAAAGTGTAACAATTTTAGTGATGGCAACGAACTGTAAAACAGAGGGAACTAAATTTCTGAGATGTGTCGTCAAAAAGAATCAAGAATTCTTGATTGCTTGATAGGCAACCCAAGACCTTTAATAAAATTTAATTGCTAGCCAATATAAAGCTTACCAGCTAGCCTTGATTGTTGTAATAAAAAATTGTGAACCGTTGGAATCAGGTCCCAAATTCACCATGGAAACAACACCTGCATAAAATCACATGTTGCCAAAAATACATGAGAGAGAGAGATGGTTACCACCCCAGACAGAAGAAAAGAGTGTGTGAAAGATCGTTGAATACCTGCATGTGAATGCTTCAACTTGAAATTCTCATCATGGAAGGTGCCGCCATATGTTGACTGGTTTCCTCTACCATCTCCAGAGACAATATCCCCTCCTTGGATCATAAATCCAGAAATAATACGATGAAACGGTGTTCCCTTGTAGTGAAGAACTTTTCCATTAGCAGATTTACCCATCTCCCCTGATTCCACAAAAAGCAGGTTGTGTGAAGGAGATTGATGATAAAATACCAGCATCTATATAGAAAATTCCAAAATAGAGATATTTGAATAATTGAAGAATCTTTGAAGTACCTGTGCACAAAGCCCTGAAATTCTCTGCAATCAGGAGCGAAATTATCAGGAAAAATAGAAGGTACCATACTAAAAGTTTGAGTACAATAAAATTATCCTACTAATGCTGTTTAATATGAAGATATTCTAGCAGAAGACTGACGACATACCGACAGTCCTCGGTACAACCTGGCCATATAAACCAATGATGATTCTGCCTGCAGACAATCAGAAGAAAGATTTTAAACTTAAACAGATGGAACGAGTAACAAGACTTAAAGTTCACAGTCGCTTAAGCATCTGGTGCCACCTGAAATTTCAACATCTTCAAGTATCACATGGAAGGCGACAGGAAATGGCAGCCAGAAAATTCTGACAATCATACTTTCTTCCTTTTTCTTAACTATAATTAATAGGAAATTTAGACATTTCATGGGCTCGTCAGCTCATGAGCATGTCTACTAATAGCTTAAACAAGTTAACAACATAGTTCACGACAAACCACAAGAACAATAGCCATTTCTAAAACTAAAACAAAAACAGATTTTGAAATCAGTTTGTAGTTCTGGTCCCAGACAAGGAGATGAGGAGGTTCCTGGCAGGTGTATCCGAGTCCTGCTACATTCTACTACCCAAAGATGATTTGACACAACCTTCACTAAAAGACTACAGCCCTTTAATGAAAAATAATAAACCCCCACCCTAAGAAAGAGAAGCAAGAAAGTTTTGATTTGATGTTCTTTTTGGGCATTCTAGTTGATGTTTGAGGAGACTTGAGAAATATCAAGACTTAGAAAAGTTTTCACTTGCAGTTGAAAAACCTATCTAAACAAATATCACATGTTGGAACATGCCCGGCTATATTTACAACACAATATGGACACAGGACAGTCGACCTTTCTGGAGTTCTGATTTAGCATGCATAATATACAACCATTTATTTATTTATTTTAATATATCCATTTACAATAATGAAATGAATCAGAAAAAGAAACGGCAATGGGAAGATTTATCCCATATGTAAAAAAATAGTAATTGGCAATAAATTGGAAATGCCTAGGTGCCAAAGAATATGGACACGTACCTATACGTTGTTTATCTATGTCAACATCCAAAAATACTCTGTGGGTGATTTCATAAGCCTCTTCCACCTTCACTTCCTCCTGGAATTTTAAAGAAACCAGTGGTTTTTCAGAAAGAGGACAACAACAAGAAGGTTGAAAACAATCAATTTTTCATGAGAGAATGATCAGATGACGGTAGCACATCACAGGGAAAAAAAGGACTGTACGGGGAATCTTCTTTCCACCATGCCGTAATCAATCGAGCTCTTTTCTTAAGCCTATTCACATTTACTATAGATAACATTCATTCACTTATCCATATCTTCACAGAACCTAGGAAATCCCAAGTCTGAACGTGGTACTTTTAAGTCAAAATTTGAGTGGTGGCTATTGTGCTGCAAATGAGCCAAAGAACAATAATCTGGTGCCATTAATTTAAAGGGGATAACCCTTTTTTTCTCCTCTAGTCCAGCTAGGAACAGCATTTTGACCCTTCTGAGGTATCATAGCGAAAGGGAGATTGTCCTCCTCCTAGTCTCATACATCGATGGTGGTTTAAGAGAAATAAGACATCTCAAGGGTAAGATGTTTATTGTCTCTTCAACTACTATTTAGTCAATATGTCAAGAAACAAGTTATGTATACCAGATTTATTGTACTTCTACTATTTTGGATGCCTTGTATGTAATGCTTGCGGAAGGCCATTTTCAAATGTTATTAGCACCAATTCACTGATCCCTCAAAAGCTTGTAAAAGAAGAACACCTTCATGTAAAGATAGGGCAAAGTAATCTTTTTAACTTATAAATTATTCTAGTGCACCCATCAATAATCTCAATACTTTATCCCTGCACACCACCCATCAAACCACGTGTTGTTAATCCAGAAAAAATGAGACTCTTGCCAACTTCTAGTAGTGCACTAAAATTGGAGATGGTACACCATTCAGTAATCTCAATGACAAGCATAAACTAGAGTACCCGATGCTAATATTATAGATCAACATCAGAGGCATATCCAAGAAACGTGTTTGGTAGGGATTTTTGGGGGAAAAATTGATTTTTGAATAGTGATATGATGAGAAATGTGTGGTTGAAAAAGAAAAAAAAAAAGTATTGATGTGATGGAAAATATTATTTTATTGAATAGTGTGTGGTTGAAAATGAGAATTGATTTGCTGTAGAAAATGAAAATTTGTACCAAACAAGCTCTAAATAAGTATCGGATTTCAACCTTAGAACGTCAAGTCATTGGGGGAGCACAATCTCATATTAATTATTAATTTTATATTTAGAGTGTGTTTGGTAGGGATTTTTGAGGGAAGAATTGATTTTTGAATAGTGATATGACGAGAAATGTGTGGTTGGAAAAGAAAAAAAAGTATTGATGTGATGGAAAATATTATTTTATTGAATAGTGTGTGGTTGAAAATGAGAATTGATTTGCTGTAGAAAATTTGTACCAAACAAGCTCTAAATACCTAAAATTTTTCAGAACATTCCTTCACAACTATGGAGCCAACTTAACTGTTCATCACACTCAATCACTTTCTATCACCATTCCTAAATGAGATCAACGCAGCAGTATTATTCCCTCCATTTTTATTTTTTTTAACTTTTTATGTTGGGTTCACATAATCACATGATTGAGCTGAGAAATCTTCGGCAATCACGAGTTCAACAGCGAAAAACTTCAAAAAAGTACTTTCTTTCCGACAATCGATTCACGGATGACATTTCAAACCCATCAAACGTTGCAAATCAACAAGAAGAAAGAACCCACAAATTATAAAGTTGTCCATATCCAAAAAGGGCACAATCAGATCGAAGACAAACATTCGCCAATCCAAATTCCAACTCAAGAATACATCCAAAGAATTCCAACAAGTGTAAGAAAAATAAAGAAATTAATGACAATCAACTAGAAGCAGCAAGAGAAGAAAATATTACCCGTTGAGAGAAGGAAAACGCAAAAAAGATGAGAACTAGAGCAAGCGCGAATATTGCGATGTACCGCGGTTGAAGCAATGCCGAGATCTCTCTACTCATCTCTTCTTTCTTTCTTATTTCCTCAATCAATTAGCATTTTCAACTCTTATGGCATTGATTGTTTATGCTTCGTGAATTATACTTATACTACCACAATTCATCCTCAATTAACAATCAAATCAATCAAGAATAGTGTAACTCAGTTGATATTTTTCACACTAGTTTTTGCTTAGAAGTGAGGATTGTGAATTCTCATCTGTTTGAAATTGGGGGAAAAGAATTTTCTTTTAAGTTCATTCTTCAGGTGACAATCCAGTCCACAAAAATATCTATGCTTTTTCTTGGAAATTTTATGATTCTGTCTTTTAGAATTAAAATAATTTATTTGATTGAGTTTTAGGGAACTTATAACAGCCTATTTGGTACAAATTCTCATTTTCTACAGTAAATCAATTCTCATTTTCAACCACACATTCTTCAATAAAATAATACTTTACATCACATCAATACTTTTTTCTTCTTTTTCAACCACACATTTTCCATCATATTACTATTCAAAAATCAATTCTTCCACCAATAATACCTAGCAAACACACTCTGTAGTCACTAGTCAGTCCAAAAGAATACGTGAGTGAAAAAATAAATAAAAAGTGGATTCCTAAAAAATATACTGATAAAAATAAGGTTTGATAAATTTATAAGTACTTATAAATTAAATTTTTATCAATTTTTTTAATTAAACCAATCAGAAGCTAAGACGACCTAATGGTACATGGCAAGCATCACAAAACACCTCATCTTGGTAGTGCTTCCAGATAGAAAATGGAAGGTGGCATACTTTGTGTAAGATAGTTTCAACTCATTTCTTGATCCAGCCTAGTTTATAAAATCTCGGTTGCCTTCGGCTGCTAGGGCCGTGAAGAGGGATTTAGAGAAAATATTATCACTGCTGCCTCTGTCGATTATCGCGTCACAAACTCGATTCGTGATGGTGCAACGAGTTCAAAAGATAGCATGTCACCGCATTGTCAATGGTCTCTTTGGAGTACGAAGAAGTTTCTGAATAATGCAAGTAACAAATTCTCCGTCATCTCCATGAAAACTTCAACCTCTTCTGGACGTTCGTCAACACAAATTTCATCAATTTCGTCATTTTTGGTTTCTCTATCTGCTAGATTGACTTGTCTCCATTGTGGGAATTCATTAGAATGGTGGCTCTTGCATCTGTACAGAGAGAGAAGGGTAGAAATATCATTACAGCAAGTGAATAAATATATTGCCCCTGAGAAGCACAACCAAATTCTTGTTGTGCCTCCAAACTTGATGTGCCGACAATCCACAACCATATAGGTTTTGCCTTCATGAGCATCGACTCAAGTGACAAACTCCTCTTAATCGTCTCTTAGAATTCTTTTAGTTAAATGCAATAATTCTTCTATTAGTGTTAAGAGGAGGTTCAACAATATTAGCTCAAAATCGACAAAAATGTGCACAAATAAGAATTAAAGAGAGTACTGAAAGGTAAACTTGATTAATCGTTGCCCTAAGGCAATAACCCAAATTACACCCGTGCCTCGGTCACTGAAAACAACCATCTTTCAAAAAGGAACACAACCAAGGTAAAAATGAACAGATTTAAACACTCAAACAGTAATCCCTAAAATATCACATTAAATCAACCTTCACTCAAGAACACTTGTTCACACAAGGACATCGCATTCAACTCAAAATAGAAATCATTCAAAATTACAACATTTGAGAGAAACCACAAAATCAAAATAGAGTTTTGATTTTTTAGAGACAATGAGAGTCAAGAACTCGAACGACGCAGACGAAGAGAAAATCAGAGGGAGTGCACAGTTCCAACCCTATGAGACCTTTTAAATGAATCACCCAAAGGTCTCCATTCAACGATTTTTGATATGACACTTGGCGGCATATGAAGCATCCATTTCAAATAAGGGAGAAACACGGTTTTACTAATTAAAACACGACTTTGCACCAATTCAACAATCATATAATCAATCAACTAGTCAACATTCAAGTCAGCAGGTTAATTGGCATCATTGTGCCAACCTTTCAATTAGGTCCTTTATTCTTTTATGAAGAAATTAGTATTGCTTAAAAATCACTATTTCATTATCAGGCCACCCGACCGATCGACCGACCAAGAGTCGATGTGAGTTTTACAACCTCTTAACAGGAGACACATGCCAACGGCTAAGTGTAGTCAATAGTATAACAAGAACTATAAAATATTAGGTTTTCACGTGAAAAAAACAGTTAATTTTGTAGATTGTTTTCATGGGGAATTGTGTTAATTCTTAAAAAAAAACAACTATTTTAATGACATAAAATCCTAAAAGTCTTCCAGAAATCCCGAGAGCTCACAAATCCAAACCAAAACAGGACAAAATGCAAAATTTAGAACTAAAAGCATTACTATAAGTAAAATGTTTGTCAATTTCAAAATGAAAATAATTCATTGCGATAACGTTCATAACGAAAACAAATTTGGTAAAATTGTTCAATAAAAGGAAGCATTGAATGCGAGCGTGACATCCAGCGGTACATGCAGATGGTCACACAGAAGAATGAAGACGAACCGTTGATTGATTCTTGTTGAATATACACCGTTTAGATTAATATTAAATGCCACCAGCTCCCTCCCTCTCCCCCGCCTTCTCTCTGTGAAACGCTTCAGCCAGCTACCACAACTGCCGTGACAATGGCAAAGCTACCAGTCTACACTTTTTAAGTTACTTAACGGGCTATCAGTCTGGTTTAACATATTGTTTATTAGAAGATGAAGATATATTCATGCAAAGTCACGGTTTTTCTAACACAAATTATAGTATTTCTGTTGTTCTTTTCGGATTTATGGGTTCGCATCTTGGGTTTGGGATCGATGTCTTCTATTGCCATTTCTTATGGAGAAAATGGCTCAGTTTTCTGTGGCCTAAAGTCTGATGGTTCTCATCTCGTAACTTGCTATGGCTCTAATCCTGCAATTACTCGGTCAATTCCAGATAATTTTCCATTTATTGGCTTAACTGCTGGGAATGGCTTTGTGTGTGGACTTTTAATGGACTCGAATCAGCCTTATTGTTGGGGACGTACAGGTTTTATTTCAATGGGTACTCCTCAACCTATGGTGAAGAGTTCTGAGTACTTAGAAATCAGTGCGGGGGATAACCATTTATGTGGGTTGAGAAAACCCTTAATGGGAAGGCACAGAAACACTTCTTTAGTTGATTGTTGGGGTTATAACATGACAAAAAGCTATCAATTTGGAGGGCAGATCCAATCTATCTCGGCGGGTTCAGTGTTTAACTGCGGATTATTTGCTCAGAATAGGAGTGTGTTCTGTTGGGGTGATGAGACTGAAAGCCGAGTAATTGAGCTTGTTCCAAAGGAGCTGAAATTTCGAAATTTCGCTGCAGGCGGGTTCCATGTCTGTGGAATATTGGACGGGGTGAAGTCAAGAGTCATTTGTTGGGGGAAAAGCTGGGATCTTGAAGAAGAAATCTCTGTATCTGCATTGTATGCTGGGCAACTCAATGTAGACTTGGCACCAGATAATCCTATGCTTTCAGTTATAGGGGGAAGATTTCACGCTTGTGGGATAAGAAGCTATGATCGACAAGTTGTTTGTTGGGGGTATTTTGTCGACGGGAGTACACCGCCTCCCACAGGAGTAAAACTTTACGAAATTTCAGCGGGAGATTACTTCACTTGTGGAATTCTTGCTGAGACGTCTCTGCTACCTGTTTGTTGGGGTGCTGGCTTTCCTTCTTCTCTACCATTACCAGTTGCCCCTGGAGTGTGCAAAATTAAACCCTGTTCACCTGATTTCTATGAATTTAACAATGCAAGTTCACCTTGTAAATCTCCAGGCTCTCACATTTGCTTGCCCTGCAGCAATGGCTGTCCTAATGAAATGTACCAAACCGCTGAGTGTACTTTGACATCTGATAGACAGTGTGGATATAACTGTTCAAGTTGCAGCTCAGGTGAGTGCTTCTCTAACTGTTCAAATGGTGGAAAGAAGAAAGAAAAATTTTGGTCACTACAATTGCCAATAGTTGTTTCAGAGATTGCCTTTGCCGTGTTCTTTGTTATCGTTGTGGTTCTGACATCAGTTTTATATGTTCGTTACAAGTTGAGGAACTGTAGGTGTTCTGTTAAATCCAAATTAAGTGATGGAAATAGCTCCTTCCTCAAAGATAGTGGGAAAATTAGTCCTGAATTGGATGGGATTAAGATTAGGAGAGCTCAAAAGTTTACTTATGAGCAACTAGAGATAGCCACTGATGCATTTAAGGAAGAGTCATTGGTGGGAAAAGGTAGTTTTTCGTGTGTTTTTAAAGGCGTTTTGAAGGATGGCACTATGGTTGCTGTTAAAAGGGCTATTATGTCTCCCGATATGAAGAAAAACTCAAAGGAGTTCCATACAGAGCTCGATTTGCTTTCAAGGTTAAATCACGCTCATTTGCTCAATTTGCTAGGTTATTGTGAAGAAGGAGGAGAGAGGCTTCTGGTTTATGAATTCATGGCTAATGGTTCCTTGCATCAACACCTCCATGGAAACAAGGAACTGAAAGAGCAATTAGATTGGATACGGAGGGTTACCATAGCAGTCCAAGCAGCTCGCGGGATTGAATATCTGCACGGTTATGCTTGTCCCCCCGTAATTCACCGAGACATAAAATCTTCAAACATTCTCATAGATGAAGAACATAATGCCCGTGTTGCTGATTTTGGTCTCTCTTTATTGGGACCTGCCAATAGTAGCTCCCCTTTGGCTGAACTACCAGCAGGGACTCTGGGATATCTTGACCCCGAGTACTATAGACTTCACTACCTTACCACCAAATCTGATGTTTATAGTTTTGGCGTGTTGCTTTTGGAAATTATCAGTGGTCGAAAAGCCATTGACATGAAATACGAAGAAGGAAATGTTGTAGAATGGGCAGTCCCTTTGATCAAGGCTGATGACATAGAAGCCATTTTGGATCCAGTATTGAAACCACCATCTGATCTTGAAGCTCTGAAACGAATTGCAAATGTAGCGAGTAAATGTGTAAGAATGAGAGGGAAGGAGAGACCCTCTATGGACAAAGTGACGACTGCTTTGGAGCGTGCACTTGCACTGCTGATGGGTACCCCATGCAATGAGCAACCTATTTTGCCAACTGAGGTGGTTTTGGGAAGTAGCAGATTGCACAAGAAGCCTTCTCAAAGATCTGGTAATCGGTCAACCTCGGAAACGGATGGGGCAGATACTGAGGATCAAAGATTTGAATTAAGAGCTCCTTCATGGATTACTTTTCCAAGTGTTGCTTCTTCTCAGAGGAGGAAATCGTCCATCTCGGATTCAGATGCCGATGTAAAGAACTTGGAGACAAGAAATTTGGGGAATGGCACCAGTCTTGGCGATGGATTGAGAAGTTTAGATGAAGAAATTGGGCCGGCATCTCCACCACAACTCTTGTTCTTACAGCACAACTTCTAATTTGCATTTGATGTAAAGCAGGTTTAGAAGTTCTCTTTACTATCAAGAACTGTGTAGAAACATAACTGAGATGTCGATCTAAGGATCACTATCAGGTTATTACACTAGTCAATTTCTCGAGTCTTTCTTGCAATTCCATCTGTCATTTAAGCTTATTACATGCCAGCATTCGTCATTAATTCTACGACTGTTATTTCGGTGACCTGGGCAATTGTTTCTTACTTGTGCTTGCTTTCCTTTTTTCCTTTTTTTATATTAGTTAGTAGGCTGACATTTATGGCTTTGGCATTGTGTTCTTTAGAGTTTGCCATCCATTTGATAGGTTCGGGACACATTCCTCCTGATCTGAAACAAAAGGGAGAGCTTCCTTCTGATTAGATCGGAGACTTTCCATAACGGACATAAGCGTTACAGTGCTCGATTTCCCCATGCCTGCCGTATCATCCAATCCCTGCATGCTTTTACTCCTGGAATGGAATATGAATTTTTAGATATAGTAAGTCATCGAGATTTCAGTACTTTTGTTGTATTTTTCAAAATTAGACTATGATTTGATAGAACAACTGGAAACGGCTGCATGTGATGGCTGAAGATATATAAATTATCAGCGCTAATATGCACACTGATTGAAGCAATCTGCTTAGATAGAACAGATTGATATATTCATTATACTTTCCAATTTTCATCAGGTAATATACTACCTGCTATATTTATGTGAAAAAAAAGGTGAGTATTTAAGGCATAACTTTATACGGCATTCACATGTACGCCATAAAAAACTTTCACGGCATGCATAAGAATCTAGTTGGTGGATCTTCTCAACCTATCGGAGGCTTACATGCCCCCACTTATCTTTGTCGTTAAATACGTTTTTCTGGCTCCGTGTTTCCAACATGTTTTTGGTTTATGATAATCTGGATTGAAATCTGTAAGGAATTTGTTGGCACAATGATGCAATGCCCATTGGGCCTATTGAGCTGGCCCAGCTGGAACTTAATGAAGTCCAGCCCAACATTCTGTTTCTCTTAAATTGGTGCCAGGAACGTGTTTGTTAGAGGGAAGCTGAAACCGTTTTTCTCCTACCTGAATTGGACGCCTGGGAAGTCGCCAAGTGTCACCTCCTATACCTTAGGATTGTGCGACCTTAGGTGACTCTCTTAAAAAGGGCAACTAGGGTTCGAGATCCACAGAGAACTTGGCTTCGATATTCTTCTCTCTTCTCCTGTGCTATCTGCGCCGTTTCGAGTCCCTTTTCTTCTTCACGGTAGAATCAAATGTTGTATTTGATTTCTTATCTTCTCTCTGTAATGGGTAATCTTGTGTGATTTCCTCGAGTAGAATTTTTTTTGGTTCTTGTTTGAACCTTGTGTTGTTAGAAGAAGGGAGTTATCTTTTGTGATATAATTGTGCTTGTCTGAGTGTCTACCTTTGTAATCTACCTTGGGGTGTGATTCGAGCAAAGTGGCGTTTTATCTTGAGGATTGAGGAGCTGAACTGAAGAAGTGAAACCTGTGGGTTTCGGCCATTATCAAAGCTACGGTTCTTTCATTTTACAGTTTACTATTCTGTCATTTTGTTCCAGTTTGTGTACTGGTTATTTATATCAGTTTGTGTACTAATGGTTGTGCTGTTTATTCTACTTTAGTGTAGTTTTCCTGATTCTTGTGGTTTATATCTTGAGTTCGGATTTACTGAGAATGTATTACAGATTATTGTTCTGTATTTCCAGCTTCGATTGTGTTCGATTTATGCACTTTTTATTCTGGCATATGACTTGGTGTTTTGTCAGTTTACTTAGTGTTGATTCAGTTTTGGTTCAGATTCTTGTTCATAATTTCAGTTTCATTTAGACTCTATTTTGCACATATATTTTTGTTGAATCTCTTGAGCTAATTGTGAACTCCTCCCAACAAAATCTTTTCGTAAGTCTGTTGTCAGAAAAAAAAAAAAAAATTATGTACTCACCCCAAAACTATTCTATAACTGGACTGTTCATGCATTACGAAACAGCCTTTTCCAGTTGTTCTTATGGGACCCTTGTCATTGATCCAGAAAAACATTACTATTTCTCGAGTGAACTAATCGGAAATCTTTTTGTTTTGATGAATAGTGAGCTGGTAAGAAAGAATGCAATCAAAATCCATGTATTAGATTGGTGGGACAAAACTGCAAGGAGCAAAAAAAGAAAAAAAAAATGGAAATTCACAGATATCAGGTTTATGTCATTTGTAAAGCTTGCTTGTCAGCTAGATATATTACATGTTTTTGAGACAAATGGTAATACTTGTGGTTGAAACTGGTAAAAGGTGCATTGCAGTGACTTCCAACCGCTAGCTGACTCGCTGGGGAATAACGCTTAGTTTACTGTTTTCGTTGATGATTCATTTAGTGTTATGCAGATATTTTATTGAACTCCAACCTTCTTAAATTAAAAATTTCAAGATTTTTAAGGACTTGTGAGAGAGCTGTTGGGAATTTACTTAATCGTGCACAGCGAAAAATAAATTATTTTTCAATTCTCACCACGGATTTGCTTTGTGTTTAGAATAATACATTTGATGAATTCTGCTGATTCTCGAACTCGAATGATGACGATCTGCAATCCAAGCTGTCTAATTGTCCAACTTCTAATAGTGATCCACACAGAGAACAAAAATGACGACTAAGGTTTTATGTTCTTAATGAATTATTCCATACAGTTTTCAAACCCTAGCAGTCTATTAATTATAAGCCCAAGCGAGCTTGACTCATCTCTTAAACTTAACAAAATCCAATATTTAATTAGTCGAATTAATTAAATCTGATCCATGAATTAATTATTTCAATTAATAAATTCGGGCATATTAATAAGGGAAAATTAGATAAAACCAGGGGTTTGGTTTAACATTTTTAAAAATCAAGTTTACTGTTTTAAAATTCAGGTTTTAAGTTTATTTTTGCAAAAATCAGGTAGTATATTAAACCCCTAATTCCTAACCTAATTTCTCCACCATTCCCGTAGCCTCCCTCCCCCCATTCTCCCTCCTCACCATTTCTCTCCACTCTCTCTTCATTTCTCTCCACCGCCCACCACCTCCACCGCCACCGTCCGTCCCTCCTCCTCCCCACTCCCTCTGCTGTGAATCAGAGCAGTGTCTACCTCTCTCCCTTCCCCCTCCCTCCCTCTGCAGCGTCACAACGAAGGCAGTTTTCAGTGCACATATAGGAAAATTGGTCAGTAATGGTAAATTTTTTTGAAGAATCGGTGATTAGATAATGCCATTGAAACCTTTTTTAATAGCAGAAGTACCAGTTCTCTGAAGAGTGAATGGAGGCTCACTACTCTGACTAGTCATGTTCTTTGAATGTATCTCTTAAGAGAGGTTCACTACATCGATTTTATACTATAGAAAATTTATTTTACCGTATTCAAAATGTCTTATGTTAATCAAGGTTTTCTAACAACGTCGCGACGCTGCTGGAGGTCCGGCAATTTGTGGTGGTTTTGGGTTTTTCTTCATATTTCTTTATTTTCAGATTTGTGACCAAGTATTGGTGGTGTACTGACATTGGTGGTGGCGGTGATTGTGCAGATTTTGGATCTTTGTTTTGCGGTGGTTGTGCACTGATTTTGTTGGCGGTGGTGGTTATGTGGATCTAATATTTTTTGTGGTGGTTGTGATGTTGGCTATGATGGTGGCGGCGGTCCTTGGNTGATGGTGGCGGCGGTCCTTGGTATCTGTGACCTAGGTGGGTGTCTGTGACCTAGAAATTGTGACTATGACTCATTGTAATAGAGTTGTGACCAGTAAAAGTTTTGATTTTTTTTCAATCTGTGACCTATAAAAAAAAAATTTAATTCGTGGTTCAAAAATAACTTGTGATCATAAATTTTTTGATATGTGATCAATGAAGTCAATTGTGACATATAAATTTTTTGATTTTTAATCTCAAAAATAATTTGTGACCAATTAATCAGATAAACTGTGACCTGAAATTAATTTTAACCAATTAATAAGATATATGTGACCAAATAGCACAATTAAATATTTAATTAATTAATTAATAAAAAGTAAAAACCCGATTTTTGCAATTTTAAAACTT